AAAAAAAAAAAAAAAAAAAAAAAAAAAAAGAATGAAGTAGCAATGCATGATGCTGAAAGAAAGAAGCAGGACACAAAAAGGCCACATAGTACCTGATTCTATTTGTATGAATTCTAGAATAGGCAAAATAGAGGAGCAATTATTCAGAGGTTGAGGGAGACACAGAAATGAGGAATGACTGCTCATGAACATAGGGTCTCCTTGAGGGTGGTATAAAATGTTACAAAACCATGCAGAACTCATTCTGTGCGTGCACCTCCAGGTCCCTGGGCAAAGCGAGAGAGGACAAGTGGAAGCCAAGAGGGTGCACAGTTTTATGAATATACCACCTTTAAAAAGTGAATTATACTGCATATGCATTAAATACCAAAAAACACAAAAGAGCCTACACTTCCTCCAGGGGGCACCAGGAGAACAGAGACCATGCACCCTCCCAAAGGTCACCAAGAATGGAAGGCAAGGCCCTCAGGGTGATCCCAACTTCTTTATGACCCAGCTGTCCAAATTTAAATCTTAAAAGTTATCTCACTGAACCTGAAAGGAGAATGGCGGTTCCCAGGAGCCCGGGAAGATACAGGGAGACAAGGATGGAGAAATGTTAAGGGGCATTAAGTTAGAGAGGGCTAAGAAATTCTGGGGTGCTGCTGCACAGCAGGGTCACTATAGGTATCAACCATGTACTGAGCTCATAAAAAGCTATGAGAAGGGGCTTTGAATATTTGAGTATTTTCCACCTTAAGGAAATGATAACTGAATGTTTGAGTAGGGATGTTTGACCTGTTTTAAGCATTACATAAAGTATAAGATGCCACATCATATCCCATTAACAGGTATAGTTATTTTTTATCAGTTCAAAATGTTTAAATAAAAATAATAATAAATACAAAGACAGAAAACTGACATCTTCCTCCCGAAATCATGCTGGCCCCATTGGCTTTGATGAAAATTACGTAAATGCTAACTCCCTGTAGCATCTTATCAACACAGCTCTAGCACCAGTGAGCACCGCTGTTCTCCCAGGAACAACTTCTCCCCTTCCCTACAGGAGCTGGTCAAAGCCAAACTGAGAGGAGCAGAAACCAAAGCACCTCACACTGAGGTACAGGAAGGGTAGCAGGCCTTACATGTACTTTGTACTCTAGCCCTCAAATTACAAATAAAGTATTGCGGTCTCTAGGAACAGTTAGTCATCTACCTAGTGCACTTGCAGACTCAGCTGGCAGCTCAGTGCCTTCTGGGCAGCTGGTCTACCCCAACCCCTCAGTCTCTATCCTGCTTTCTGGCCACACCTGGTAGCCAGCAACCAGAAACCTCAAGTCACAAAAAAAGAAAGCCGCAGAAAGGACTTTAAGACCTGAGTGATTTTCCTTCCTCCCCACTAGGAAGTTATCTTCTCATTTCACGCTTTGCATGTGTGATACCCATGTTTAAATCTCCAGCATAACTGAGGTAAAAACGGAGTGACCTGGGAGAGGAGCAACCAATGCTTCAGAAAGATCAGAATAAGGGGCTGGGAATTTAGCTCAACGGCAAAAGCGCCTGCCTGGCAAGCGCAAGGTCGTTAGTTCGGTTCCCGGTACCGGAGAAAAACAAACAAACAAAAAAACAAAGAAAGATCAGAATAAGACCACCCTTGGAGTGTGTTTCAAGGCAGCAGGTGGTAGTCTTGCTGCTAACGCTAGTAGCTCCTTTCTCAGCAGCATCAGGAACAAAGGCCACTGGCTCTGGTGTGCCTCCTGGACCTTCCACTACCTACTAGAGAGTCTCCACTTTCCCTGCGTAAACAAGCCTGGCAGGCAGTGGTCACAACCTGATGTTCAGAAGGCGTAGCTCATGGAGCCTGGCCCAGGAGGTGCTGGCATGCACAGACCCAAGCCACTGCTCCAAGGGAGCGACGGCTGAGACCAACAGGGCCCAGCGCCACCAGCCACCCTGTCTTAACACCCACTGTGGGAGGAGGCTCTAAGGGGAAGGAAGAAATGGGCTGGGCCAGAACATGGAGCAACAAACTGTTGTTGAAGCTGAAATCAACACATGCAATCATGCACAAGCTCTAGATTGCAAGCACAGTCCTCTTCCCCGGTCGGCTGCAGCATCCCAAGATGTCCACCTGGGCACTGGACGGGACACCACGGCCACAGCTCCTGCTGCCTGGGGTTAAGGGAGGATGAACTGGGACCTCTGCGACCAGCTGGCCCCACAGGGAGCACACAAAAGGTCCTCCCAGTTACACGGCCATGCTCAGCCCTGTGCCCCTTGCACTTCAATTCTGGGAAATGCCACGAATTACCAGGCTGGAAACGAGGCAGAAGTGTTTCCTCAAAGCCCTAATGTGCACGTAACCATCTCATTTATCAAATGTGCGCTGACTCAAAACATCTTGCCCTGTGACCCGGGAGCCCTAAGGAAATGACAGGATGGCCCTGTGACAAGAACGCTGGTACGGAACACACAGGAGCCGCAGCATGGACAGGACAGGACAGGACTCGAGGCTCACCTGGGCCCCGGACAGCAGGGGGCCGTGTGAAGGTAGGCTCGGAGGTACCCGCAGCCCCTCCATTCTTTGCGGTCTGTCCACGCTGATCCCCAAGAGAACAGGACCTCGATAACACATCAGTAATGACTTTTCAGTCCCAAGAAAGGTTCCTGCCTGTCCCCTCCTAACCGTCCCGCCCAGCGTCCACACCTGAATACCCCACAATCTCCGAGCAGTGCCAGAGTCTGAAGGTCATGGGGCACGATTCCCTGCGAGGCGGGGCTGAGAGGCCCTACTGCTGCTGGGTTGGGGTGCTCCAGTGGGATGGATGGAAGGGGGCATTCCTTGTAGGTGCCCCCACAAGGAGCTGCACAGGGAAAGGCCGCTGGAGTCTGCAAAGCCAGCAGAAGGGGGCGTTTAGAATCACCCAGGTGACAGGCACAGGGTTCACGGCTGAGGACCTCCGTCCACTGGAAGCCACTGCTCACCTCTCTATAAGGGCTGAAGCTTGGATCGTGGGAAACAGTTTCCCTTTGCTTCCCATGAGGTGAAGCCCATCTCCTCCACCCCTGCCCGCCCTGAATGCTGGATCCGCTCTTCCCAGCCTCCCCTTCCCAGCCTCCGGAGAGTACTTTGTGTTTGAAATCAGGCAACTCATCCCCACCTCCGCCCCTCCACTCTCCGTGTGGGCTGCCCCACCCCCGTCACTCTGCTGGCCCAGGCCTGCTCTGTACCTGTGAACCAGGCCCGATGAGTCCCAACCCCTACCAGCTCCCACTGGTCCCACAGGGTGACAAGGGACTGTCCCACCTCTCCCACGGAGGTGTGAGCGTCCCTCTGTCCAGCTCCATCAGTCCCGCTGAAGTGACCACAGTGCAGGGGTGCCTGGAGGCAATCAGATGCCCCCTCCTGGCTCAGGAACCCAAGGGCACCCTTTGGAAGCTGTATCTGGGAGAGGAAGTGAAAGCAGACCCCCCACGGAGACCCAAGGGGATTCCAGCACAGCTGCTGCTCCTGCGCTCAGAGAGCTGTTTTCCTAAACTTTCAAACCTGGCCTCTCTGGCAGGATGCCAGGCGGGCTGAGTCATTACCTGTTTACACCCACAGGCCTGCGTCTCCATGGCAAAGGCTGCCCTGAGAACCAGCAGGGGACGGACGCTGGGGGGTGGGGGTCTCACCCAGGGGGAAAGTCCCACAGTGTGCCGTGCCTGCACAGCCTGGACCAGACCCTACTGTGTACCTGGAGCCAGCCCTGGGCACCCCGGAAGCTGGACCTCGGCCACCGCAATGGCCACACAGGTTGTTTTCTCTCTCCATCTGGTGATTCCCAGGGTAGAATGTGAGGTGGGGTGAGGTGGGGCTCAGACCTCCCCTTAACATTGGAAGGTAAACGAAGACTGCCAATGGGGATGCTTTTCCTCCAAAACATTTCCAGAGGGGCATTAGGTACTACAGCCCTTCAGTCTCCCTCTCTTCTACCACAGACCTAAACTGCCACATCACCTGAGTGCCATGCCTCCCGGCACCAGCAGGAGCAAGGCCGCCTGTGCCCCGCCCCCAGCCCCGCCCAGGCAAGGCAGCTGCACTTTGAACACCAGGTGCAGCAGCTGCCGCCCAGGGCAGGAGTCACACTTTCACTTCTTCAGGGCTCTGTCATGGTGGCCTTTTCTTTTAACAGATCTTTGTAAACCAGACTAAAAAGACTCGGATACCAACTATTGTAATGATATATGAGGAAATGTGGAAGAGGGTGGCTCCCACCACACTGGGATGTCTTCCTTCTAGAGTAAAAGTCCCTAAGATGGACCTAGAGACCACACTGGGGCTCCTAGGGCTGAGAGGGACTCAGGTGAGGGGGTCAGAAAACCAAAGCACCAGGGCTGGGGATTTAGCTCAGTGGCAAAAGCGCCTGCCTGGCAAGCGCAAGGTCGTGAGTTCGGTTCCCGGTACCGGAGAAAAACCACAAAACAAAAACAAAAACAAAAACCAAAGCACCAGCCCAAGCACCCTGTTATGGTTTGTGTATAGTTGTCTCCCCAAAGCCTCAAGCAGTCATGGGGTGGGCTTCTAGAGTTTATGACTGATCTATGGTCCAGTGCTGGGATTATGGGTGTGAGTGCTACACCCGCCCTGGGGCAGGCAGCCTGCATACAATATAAGGGAGGGAAAGAGGCTCGCTCTCGGCTGCATCTCCCTTTTTGCTCTTGTTGCTTTCCTGTTCTCTGCTGCCACAAGCTGCTGCCCTGTGCCCTGTGCCACTCTGCCTTGGAGCCAGCAGAGTATGGACTGAAACATCCACAAACTGTGAGCTAAAAAAACCTTTCCTTCTTTAATTTGGGGCATCAGGTATTTTGTCTCAGCAATGAGAGAAAAGTAACCAAGACACACTCTTTTATAAAACTGTCTCAAAACAACTTGCACATTATCAGAGGTTACCCTGAACCACATAAAACTTGTTGGAATTTCATCACAAAAGAGCAGTGGTTTTGATTTTTGGGTTACGTGGGATGATGTATGATCGATCTAAAATGGTACACACAGCAAGAAGGGGCCTGAATCCTTCCTGAATGCAAGGAAATTAAACACCCTGCTGTTCGTGGACCACTCAGCAAGACACACATTCCCCGAGATGTTCAGAGAGACAGAACGTGTATGAGGAGTAATATGTCTATTTTTTAAAGCCTTTGTATTATACTGAACACTAGACATTAAACCTTTGAAGGAACTTAATACAGGTTAAGAATCCCTTATCCAAAATGCTTGGAAGCTGGGTGTGGTGGCGCCAGCATTTGGGAGGCTGAGGCAGGATCACTACAAGTTTGAGGCCAGCCTGCACTACATAATGAGACCTTATCTCAAACACACACACACACACACACACACACACACACACACACACACACACAAAACAACAACAACTTGGGATCAAACAACTTGGGACCAAAGTATTTTGGATTTCAGAGTTTTTCAAATTTTGGAATATTTTCATGGACTTAAGCAGTTAAGCCTCCCTAATCTGAAAAACTGAAATCCAAAATGGTCTGACACTGGTTTTCAAAGCATTTCATATCTGGAATAGTCAAACCATGGTAGGTCAGCCAGCCAGTGTACAGAAGACTACAGCTCAGAAAAATTAGGAGATGCTGCTGATGGCCACACAAAGGACTTCTGACACGGCAGTACTGTGCTGCTCCAAAAGCAGCAAAGGCGCCCTGTCTACCTCTTACGCATCTCCTGGAACATTTCCAAGGAAATTCAGTAGAAAAGAAGGCAGACAGAATGTTAAAACAGGTTAAAAACTTTAAAGTAAATGACTAGTTCTTTAAAACCTAACAGCAGGATTACGAGACGATCCAGCAATTCCACTGGGGGTGTACACTCGAGCAGTCAGAGAAGGGAGGTGGAGGAGTGGCTGTGACGTCAGGTATGCAAGGTAGGGAGAGTTCCAGAACGGGCAGCGAGGGTGGTGGTACATCACTGAATTACTGCACGGCACTGGGACTGCACATTTAGCAGTGGTTACCATGGTAAAACATGTTACCTGCATTTTACAATAAAAAGTATTTTTGTATAATGACTATTTGTATTCATGGGGTAGTGACTGAGGCCGATTATATCAAAAACGCCTAACCAGGACAGCACTTTCTGGTATCCTGTTGGAGGAGGTATCTTCAGAGCAGTCGCCTAGCTGTAATCCACAAGCCCCAAAGTCAAGCTGAAGTTCAGGCACCACGTTCAGAACTTCAGAGACAGAATAAGTCTCCCTGAAGATGAGGATTCAAGCAACTATTTCACAATCTGCACGACCAGCACCACTTTGAGTCCAACAAATTATAAAGAATATTGACTTACTGTGTTCACTAACAAAACACAGTACTTCATAGATTTCTATCACGAGGGTATCTGTACCACATGTTCCAGAAGTACTTTTTATGAACATCAGTTTTGAAATAATATCTGGGGACTGAATCTCTAAGAAATGAGTGGCAATCACTTCTGACCATTGCCTCTGTTGAGATTAACACATAGGAAAAGCTGGGTTATAGCATAAAAGAAATTAAACCTAGTATATGTGGCTCTCTGCATGCACAGGTTTTGTGTCCTTAAATTTAAATGGGAAGTGTTTCTTTTTAAAAATTCATGTGCACAAAACATGCATTCTTTCTCTTATCATTATTCCCTGAACAGTGCAGTATAACTACAGTATTTACATGGCATCTCCACTGTCCGAGGCACTATCAGTCACCTGCAGATGATTTTTTTTAAAGCATATGGGAGGACATGCATGGATTCTATGCAAACACTACACCGTTTTAGATAAGACTTGAGCATCCCCGGATTTTGATATCCACAGGGTCCTGGGACCTGTGCCCTGGTGGCTGGAGGGCTGTCCGTGCAGGTAAGGCTGCCAGAAACAAAGGCTGAGCCCCAGGTATGGGCCCCCACAGGTGAGGACACCGTGGAACTCAAGCTCTACCTTTTGGTGATCTGGCTCGGCTCCTGCAGATCTGGGTCCAGGTCGAAGACCTCATTGTCCAGCAGCCTCCGGAGCGTCACATCCGCCAGCTGCTCCATGATCCTGAACACCTCGTCCAGGTTCAGAAACATGGAGAAGTCGCGCTCCTTGTTCTGCGTGGTGATCCGGATGGTGTCCGTGAGGAAGACATTGGACGTCCTTTCCAGTTTCTGGATATCCACCCAAGGGATGACAAGTTTAACTGCAAGAGGAAAAGGGCGAATACATTTTACAAGGTTTGAGCCATCCCTGAGTGCACCCGCAAGTATAGTCCAGAACTTTCCTTCAACTGAAACGCTAAGGTCTTCTGAGCCAGAGCTGGGAGAAAAGCACAGAACTTTGGTGAACCCCAGCTCAGTGTTCCAGTGGTTCCCTCAACAACTTAAGTGACACCTCCTGGTTGCAGGCACTTCTTTTATCGCAAGAACTTCATTGCAAGAACTTCTTTCTGGAATAACAAACCAGCAGTGCACAAACTCCCAAAGATATTTAAATAGCCATGCAGAAGTTCCTCCATCCACACAAATTCTGGTTTTGAAAAGAGCATAGCACAAGCTAGAGAAAAAAGGAGTGTCAAAGACTACTACTCATGATCTCATTTTCAGAAATGTGTCAAATAAGATGGGCATGGTGGCGCATGCCTGTAAACCCAGCACTTGGGAGGCTGGGGCAGGAGGACTGCCGTAAGTTCGAGGCCAGCCTGGGCTACATAGTTTAAGGTTAGCCTGAACTATACAGCAAAACCCTGTCTCAAAAAAAAAGGAAAGAAAGAAAAGAAATGCACTAAACATTTACTATATTTACTGTGTCAGATGACAAGTGTTAGGCTAAGAAGACCGCACAAGTAGTTTTTTCCAAATGCTCTAAAGTAATACAGTGTAACCGGACACAATGCTGCACACCTGTCATCCCAGCTATTCAGCAGGCTGAGGCAGGAGGATGGCTGGAGCCCAGGAGTACAGAGCCACCTTGGGCAAAACAGGAGATCCTGTCTCTTTTTCAAAAAGTAATACATTACCAAAAAAACAGGTGTTCTGTTCTCAAAAGTGTTCTCAATACTGGGGTAACTACTGATGGAGACAGAGCAAAGGGGAAACACAGTCTTAGCTCTGACGGCGCGTTTATCAAAGACAGATAACTTACAATGACGAACGTCACGCCATTCTAAGAGGCATTCATTTCTTCCAAAATATCGTCATTCTAATATAGGTATTAATGACAATCATTAAGAAGTGTCAGAAAATAATTCCTTTCCAAATTGTATAGAGAAAGATTGTCATGTCTACCATTTCTTTCCATTTATTTTAGAATATTATTTTCAGTCCTTTAATAGCTTTTAAAGACCCCATTTTCACAGCAGCCTTAAGACTCAGCTTCTCCAGCTATTTCTGGCTGTTCGCACGTACCATGTCCGACACACACACCCTCTCCACCCACACCGCCGCAGAGCAAATGCTCCGGAAAGAGCCCCGCATTTAAGACGCCCAGTCAGATCGGAAAACACACCCGAGAGTCAGTAACCGTCCACACGACGGAACCCAGCACAGAAACAAACATGGTGCGAATGCTGTGGGGCCTCGCGGAGGCTTCCCAGAGATAACAAAATAAACTGGATGGGGAAAGATGAACGGGAGTTTCCAGACGGGCTGAGTGTAGGGCAGAAGGAAAAGCAGCATGTTCCTTCAGAGGAGCATTTCAGAAAGAAAGCCCAGGATGGCCAGTTAGGCCAGAGCACAGCCCAGGCGAGAGTGGGCTACGCCACGAGGAGCACGGCCCGGCATGTGAGCTCTGAGGCTGTGGAGGCGGAGAGAGACGGCCGGCGAGCCGGAGCTGGTCCCAGCTGCCAAAGGAGCTCCTGCCATGGTTCCACTTGAAACACAGATGAAGAAAAAACACACACGTATATACGTGGGTGCAGCAAGGGTGCCGCCCAGCACGGTGACTGAAATGGTAACCGGCCCTGCGAGCGGCTCCCACGGGAGGACTCCTAAGCATCCACCACACAGTTGATTCGTGCCTTCCCCTTTTCACCTTGGAGTCCCACTGCCTGGGACAGGACCCATGCCCAGGCAAATCCGTGCGATATCAATCGGTGCCTGAACCTCCAGGGGGCCCAGGGGGTAGGGGAGGTGTGGAATTCCCTTTATACAAGCAGTCGTGACCACCAGGACTGGGCATTTTTTAAATGGACCCCCTGCAGGAAGACATTCTCCTTTAGAAATATTTAGCCACCAGTTATGACATTGTGTTTCCAGGGCGATGGACAGTAGTAAGAACCTCTCCATAGCCATGTTTTCTTTGCTTGGTTTGGTTTGCTTTGGTTTTGTGACATGGTCTCACTATGTACTTTAGTCTGGCCTTGAACTCACTAAGGAGCCCAGGCTGGCCTCAAACTCACGGCAATTCTCCTGCCTCAGCCTCCTGAGGGCTGGGATTATAGGCATGTACCACCATGCCTGGCTCTCCATAGCTCTTTGAAATGAGCAACAGAAAAATCTTAAGGCAATGGGGAAAAAGGAATTCTCCCCAGATCAAACCCTCTAGGAGCAGGAGATAATTATCAGCACAAGGCATCTGGAAATTGACCAAGCACCACCTGTCACCCCAGCCACCTTTGTAACCTTGTGCTGGGGGTGCCTGACGCTAACGGCCTTTGGCAGGAGCAGCCCCAGGGCCACCTGTGTTTGTGAGGATCCCGGGGCTGTGGGGGGGCCTCACTCACGCTCTTTGCCCAGGAAGAAGGAGTAGAAGCAGAGGTGGTTGATGCTGAGGTACAGCCAGCCCTGGCGCGGCACCCGGCCCTTCCAGCAGCAGCAGGAGTAGTAGGTGACCAGCTTCTCCGCCTCGGGGAAGTTGAACCTGGCTGCAAATTTCACCAGGGCCTCGCGGAACTTCTCGGGCTCCTCCTCTTGTTCCGCCAGCCGGCTGCTGGTCTCCTCTGCAATCAGGGCCTGTGGCAGAGAGATGACCTTATCCAGGGCAGAGCGGAGGAGGCCAGCGCAGGTGGCAGCCAGCACCTGAGCAATCTGCACAGTGCCCCGGCACACTCACCTGTCCGTCACCTCAAAACATGGCCAGAGCCACAAGACAGAAGCAAGCAAGACCAGCTCGTGCTCCAGGCACCCGCCTCCCAGCCCTGCCTCCTCGGGTATGTCAGCTTCGCAGCATCAAGGATCAGAATTTGTCACCTCAAAATATGCCATTCTGGCGTAAGGATTTTGAGCTAAAGACAACTGAGAAACAGAAGACACCAGAAAGACTTGTCTTCCCCCTCTGCCTAACGCCAGGACCCACTTGCCATATGTCTAGGGATTTTCCTCTCAGTGCTAGTGCAATGGGTTAGTTATTTAGCTTCTAAGGGTGCAGTCAGCATAGCCTAAGATAGAGTTGGCTGGGTGCAAGCAAACAGCACACACTGAGCTAATTCGTACTGTAGGAAGAAGGATCAATGTTTCATACGAGGGAAGATAAGGTCCTTTCCTCCCAAGAAGAAAGTCCTTCTGCAGAACCTGCTTGGTGATGCACACCTGTAATCCCAGTATTTGGGAGGCTGAGGCAGGAGGGTCGCCCTGAGAACTACATAGTGAGTTCAAGGCCACCATGAATTACACAGCAAGACTCTGTCTCAAAAAACAAACAAACAGAACCGGCTAAGTCAGTTGATAGTTCCTCCCTATCTCAGAGTGGACTTCTAAGGAGCATTAGAAATATAAAATAACTGGTTTCCTTTAACTTGTCTTCTTTGAAACAAGCTTTTGCCGCATTCTGCCTATTCATGTAAGAGTGGAACAAGTAGGGGCTGGGGATTTAGCTCAGCGGCAAAGCGCCTGCCTGGCAAGCGCAAGGTCGTGAGTTCGGTTCCTGGTACCGGAGAAAAACAAAAAAAAAAAAAAAAAAAGAGTGGAACAAGTAAGACAATTTGGATCTCCATTCGCAATGCCCTCCTGGAGGCAGGTGCTATTTCCCTTCTTATTTCCAATAAATACTCTCCTAACTTCCCTCGTTTGCCCATGATTTCATTCTTCAACTTTGTGAGGCTACGAGCTTGGTTTGTACAGAATTAACTGTTTCACATGGAAGAGGGCATTCAATTTGTTTTTTTAATGGTGGTGGTAAGACCTGAACTCAGGGCCTTGCACATGCCAGGCAAGTGCTCTACCACTGAGCCACGTCTCCAGCCCAGGACTGGACTCTTCACCACCAGAGATGGCACTGCAAGGACTTCAATCAGCAAGCCTTACGAAAACAGCCCTAATCTCCCGTTACTTTCCCCATGTTTACTTTTCCCTCAGCCTGTGACCCCAAAGGCCTGCCCCCCTTTGCCTTTGGCGTGCCTCTCCTCTGCAGACTTGCTGTTCTCTCCGGGACCCCACATTCTCACCTTTGAGCTCGTTACTGCAGCATTTCTGTGTATGCATCCTGCCTGCATCGGTCTGTTTGTTTTCTCTTGTTAATCTCTCTTCGCGGGGGTTAATTTCCAGGGCCCCAGCCACAGAGCCCACAAGGACACAAGAAAAGTTTTCTTCTCTAGAACTCTTTCTGAAGCCTTTGCAGCAGAAATGAATCTCTCCTCCCCGTTAAGAGAAGCACCTAGACCAAACCCCGGTGATCCACAGGCGGCCGGGAGAGATGCGCTGAGTGTGAAGGAGAGGGCAGCGCCGTGCCAAGCCCCAGTGCATCCCACGCAGGGAGCTGGCCACGCTCAGTTGGACCCGGATGCGGGGAAGCGCGGGAGCTGGTCCGCCCTGACCCCACGGGCCAGGGCTCACGCCCAGAGGACACCGTCACACTGCCGGGCCAGCGGGACTGAGGCAGCCTTTGCATCCCGATCCCAGCAGTATCCCCAGTCTCCAGAAAAACAGCACTTCTACTATGTTCCTCTAAACTCACAGTGTTGCTCTCATACTAAAGCCGGAACGCCATGCTTACGTAGAAAAACAGAACCCAGGGTCTGAGATGTTTTTCCCCAGGAGAGGAAAGCCATGCTCCAGGCTAATGAGTTCAAGTGTCTAATGAGAGAGTTAAATTTAGAGTAAGAGAAGTCTCTCCCTGTTTCAAAGCTGCATTCTGATTACCCAACCTGTTACTGTGCGGAGACCCGTTATGTAAGAGGAGAGCTCACGGGAGCGACCAACAGGTACTCCCCAGATAGTCCTCTCCGCCTTCTCAACCCTTCCTGGCTCTAATTCCATCTAATGAACACATTCTAAGAGTAAACACCCACGATGAGCAGGAGGACAGTGCTAGGTCCAGCAAAATGATGACAGGATGTCACAGCTGCAGAAAAAAGTTGGGAAAACTAATGTAATGAGTCAAATGACGTGTTGTTCTGCAAAAACAGAAATTTCAACATATGTTTGCCTTTTCCCCCAAGACAAACAATGCGTCTGCACTTCTATAAAAGGTAACAAACTGGACCTAGGAGTGAAGCTTTTTATTGTAATTTCAGGCATGTTTTCTGGACCTGAGTCTGTGAAGTCTGGCAGGTGACAAGTGGAACTCACCTGGCTTTCTGTAGTCAGCTAAAAAATGGGGTTGGAGGGGGGAAAGCTGAACATACTGCAGTGTTTGAGAGGTCCTAAGGAAGTTACCAGAAAAAAAAAGGGGAAATGTTAAAATCAAGGCACCCACCTTTACTTTTCCTTTGACAAAGCTGGCAATGTCATCTTTATTATCAAACACAGACAAGGTATGGAGCAGATTCTGTTCCAGCCAGTCCCAGTGCTGGTTTATTTCCTCCAGCGTTGCACCTGAATTAGAATAGAAAGATGCAGAGATCAAAAAAGTAACCAGGTTCCGAATGTAATTCCTATCCCTTGTGTATGTTACTCAAACATCCGCGGTTGTCACACCCAGGGCAATAACCTGCCAGAGGAAAGCAGGTCCTCCCCTGGGCCCATGGAGTCCCCGCACCGCAGCAAGCGGGTTTGCAAACATTGCTCCTTTTCCACCAGATGGGGCAGCTGCCCAGGACAGGGACTGTCTGAGACCGTCCAGCCCACCGCACTAGTGCACAGAGGCACTGGTTACTACACAGCCGTTCCAGAGCCAAACAACACGCAGAAGTAGCAGACCGACTTGAGCAGTCTTGCTTCGTGTCCCCCGTGACAAGGGTCCCCCAAGAATTACTGCGAGCCAGGGTCCCACAGGCCCTGCTGCCCGCACAGGGTGCTGTCACTTGTACCCTGCGTCCTTTAACCCCCCAAGCAACAGCCTGAGAAACGCACAGGTTCGCAAAGGGATACTTCAGATCACTTACAGCACTGTCACTCCAAAACCTGTCAAAAGAGATCTCCCAGGACACGGTTAAAAGCATGTGAGGCAGGAGGATCGTTGCGAGTTCGAGGCCAGCCTGGGCTACAAAGTGAGCTCGAGGCCGGCCTGAACTGCAGAGTGAGACCCTGCCTCAAAAGACAAAAAAAAAAAAAAAAAGAAACGAAAAATAATTAAATAAATAAAAGCAAGGCACACAGAAGTATTGAAATCACACACAGTAAGTTAATTTCTAACTGGCCTGAAGCAAACACAGGCCGGGCAAGAAAAGGAACACATGTATCTGGCAGATCCTGGCCAGCCGAAGTTCTGAACCGGGACAGAGGGAATTTACTCATTCTTTCTTTTTTTTGCGGCGGGCGCGTACTGGGAATCTAACACAGGACCTCACACTCGCCAGGCAGGTGCTGCGCTGCTGAGCGACATCCCCGGCCCCAGGACAGAGGGAAGTGAATGAAGGGCCACCAAGCAAACAACGGCACAGGATAACCTGCCGACACAGGGCCACACAGCAGTCACCCCAAACCAGACCCACGTTCTCTCAGAACCGAACTTCCTCTCCCCACAGCGTAGATCCACTCACCCGACGACCCTGTCAATACAGCACTCGCGTCCCTCATCCAAAATCCAAACTGTCCCAAGCTCTGAACTGCTGAACACCGACATTATGTCCCAAGACACAAACTCCGCCTCATGCACAAGACTGGGAAATATTGCATAGAATCAGGTTTAGGCTGTATGGGTCAGGTGCATAGGAACACACCCGTGAATGAACTTAGTATTTCAGAGGTGGGCCCCATCCCCAAAATAGTATGTACATAGGCAACAATTCCAGAACGCAAGAAAATCCGAAACACTTCCAGTTTGGATGAGGAATACGCAGGCATTGTGGATGCGGGATACCCAAGCAAGTGCCTGATGACCCGCACTGGGACACAGGTGTGGAGTCCGTGAGGATAAAGAACATCTGTATTAGGACAGGTGTTCTGAGGGGACAGTCTGGGAAAGAAAAAAAGAAATACCGAGAGAATACTTGGGGCAGAAAAACGAGCGTGAAAACAACAGTACTGAAATCCCTGCATCTCCCGATTTTTAGGCACAGCCATGTCCACAGCAGCGGCCTTGGTCGCCACCATCTACAGCCTTCTGGCCAGTGCGGGAGGGCCCGCCCCCGGTGCACTCTGCCCGGGGCCTCTATCCACAGGCCCGGGGACCTGCCACCTCTCCTTGGCCTCCCCTTGTCTTGCTCCCTAAGGGTTCATACGCCCAAGAAACAGCCACCCAGGCTCACAAGGAGCAAACTCGGGGGTGAGAAGTCACGAGCCTCTTGCTTTCCACTTCCTTCCCATCTCCGAGGCTCCTGTGGGGCCCAGAATGCCCTGGCCCTTCAGGCTCCCCACATCTCTTAGGACAAGGAAAGCTTCTGTCTTTTGGGGGGAAGGGGACAGTACTGCGACTCGAACCCAGGGCCTTCACACTGAGCTGCATCTCCAGCCCTCGTTTATTTTGAGAGTAGGTCTTGCTGAGTCGCTTAGGCTGGGCTCAAACTTGGGACCCTCCTGCCTCTGTTTCCCTGAGTGCTAGGACTGCAGCTGTGTATCACCATGCCCAGCCAAGGGAAGCCTTTTTAAAATAAAATCAAGCCAGGCACAGTGACACACGCCTGTACATGCAGCACCGAGGAAGCTGAGGCAGGAGGATTACAAGTGTGAGTCCTGCCTGGGTGACCTAGTGAGATCTTGTCTCAAAATGAAAACATGGTACCTCATCTAGCGGTGCACCCCGTGGTAGAGTGCCCTGGGCTGGGCCCCCGGTACCAAACCACGAAGCCAAGCAATACCAGCCTCCGCCCCGTGTCTCTCTTCGGGCTTCTAAACGCTGCTTGGCCTGAACCCAGCTCCTGAAGCGGCGGTGACATATGGCAGGCTGACGCGGCTCAGGTGACATCTGGTCATCTGCCTCTGCTCAGGTGTCGCTGCCCCCTCGGGGCCCCAACGGCAGCGGTGTGTCAGTCGTGAGGACACCCCTAAACCATGGTATCTTGCTGCCAAGAAGGCTGTGCATCACATCATGGCCCAAATCCCAGCTCCACGGAAGGGGATGACCACACGCAGGCCTGGGGCGGCCGGGCCCTGCTCCCGGGGCCTCCACGGCCTTCCCTTTGTAGGTCTTTGTTCGTCGTCACCACAATAAAGCCAGCGGGGCACCAAACAAGCAAGGACAAACCGAGCAGGGCCTCTTTATTGACCTGCAGCCATCTGCTCCTACGATCCCCACTTACCAAAGCAAACAAAGCTGGAGGAGCGGGAAGAGTGGAGAGGGCAGAGGCCTCCCCTCTGCAGCCTGTCTGTTCCCAGCACTGGCGGCTGATCCACCACCAGGACAAATACCTGCCCAAGGCCATGCACCCAGTGAGGGACAGACTGTCCTGTAAGTCCCAGACGTGCAGTGCCCCGGGATCTCCCACAGCAGCAACAGGGCAATGCTGAAGTACCGTCCGCATAAGCCTTGGGCCCGGGCCCTGCGATGGCTGGACACGAAAGCCTACTGTGCTTGCATTTAGGGGGCGCTCAGTCCTCCCCCGCAATCTCGCCGTCCGAACGCGCCTTCCTCAATGATGACACAGGCTGTCACTATCCAAAGCTCACAGGCACTAACACGACTATTTCCTGCCGCAAAAAGGCTTCAGCTGATAACTGTAGATAACACCGAAAAGTCAAGCCCGGTCCCAACAGCAGGTCATGGTTAAGACTAGACACAAAGACAGCAAAAACCTAGACTTTTATTCTGAATACTAATTCTGCCTACTGGGAAGGAGCTTCAGAGAAGGACAGGTAATTCTATAACAAAACCAAGACCACACCTTGAGAGAGAAAATAAAATACATTAAATCTCCTGCTGAGCCACACCGCGATTTTATTACAACCCACCCCTCCCAAAGTGTCAGCCCGAGCAGTGGGCCTCTCCCAGCAGAGACAATCAATGTGATGAAACTTTTCCACCCTACTGTCCGTTTCCTACAAAAGCTGCCAAGTGGCAGGGAAATTTTCCAAGCTATAATTTCCTCTGCAGGGAACTCTCATGACGAGCTTCCCAAATACCATAAATCAATGCAAGCCGGGGCACTTTCGCGTCCTCACAGGACTAAAAAGGAAAGTCATTCAACATATGTGACACACTACAGTTGGGAACCTACACTAGAGCAGCGTTTTTCAAATTACATGAAGTCATGCATCTGAAAATAGCTCTAAAAAAGATGAAATAGAGTTGAAAGTAGAACCCACGCCTGCTGGTAAGCTACTGGACTGTGAATTCTCTCCTAGCTATACACGTTCTTCTAAGCGTGTCTGTCTGGCACTGCAGACAGACAAGTGCTGAGAAAGCGAGACATTCGTTGCCACCTACAGCAGAAATGGGACGATGAAAAGTATATTCAGCGCTGCAGCGGGATTTCTCATCCTGCGGCAGCCCTGCCAAACCCAGACGGAGCAAAGGGAACTGTGTGAGGGTCTGAGGCTGCTCCCCCAAATTCCCATACAGAAGCCCTCACCCGCAAGGTGACCGTGGAGAAGAAGGCTTTTTTGGAGGGCACTGCAGCTAAAAGAGGACATAAGGGTAGGGCCCAAGCCTAAGAGGACGGGTGTCCTCGCAAAAAGAGGCCAGGGTCCCGCACACCCCGAGGAAAGGCCAGGTGAGGACACAGGAGAAGGTGGCGGTCTGCACGCCAAAGACAGAGCCTCAGCAGAAACCAACCCTGCGGCACCATGATCTTGGACTTCTGGTCTCCAGAACCGTGAGAAAATGTATTTCTGTCACTGAAGGCCCCCGGATGTATGGCAGCTGGAGGTGTCTGCAACCAAAATTTGTAGCAGAACTGCGGATGATCACCAAAGTGCAAGTAGCAAAGTGAAGTGTTTCATGAAGGCCTCTAACTCTGCAGAAAAAGTTTTCCATTTTCTAAGTCAACTAAAGGCTGGTTGAAAAAATCAAATTTATAGATAGAAACCACAGAACAAAAACACCACTGATGATTTATGAATAACCAGTTCTACCTTGGAACAACCAGAAATAGCCGACTGAGGGCATTTTCTGAATGCCTGGCATGTCCTAGGCATGCCATATACTTAGCAGCATGTCTTCATAAAGCTATCACAAGGTAGCCAGGTGTGGTGGCACACACCTCTAATCCCAACACTTGGGAGGCTGAAGCAGGAGGCCTGCCACATGTTTTAACCGAGGCCAGCCTGGGTTACACAGAGAGTTTGAGGAACTACACAAGCAAGACATTAATATTACCATTTTCTGGGTAAGAAGTAAAAATGCAACACAAAGAAAGAGCCAGCCCAGAGCCTATTCACAAGACTAGGGCTTCGCTGAACTGTGACATCACCAGGGGCTGGAGCCCCCAGCAGCTGAGTCACAGAGGAACACACGCGGTATTTATTCTCTTAGGTTTTCCCCAGGGGTGTTTTCAGGA